ACACCCTTTTCAACCCTTCTAATCTCACTTTTTAACTACCGGATTCCAAAAATTTAACGAACAAGGATTACCCTGAGCAGTTTGTACTACAATCTTCGATTTGCCTTGATAGCTACTCCTAGCAATTCCTAATCCACTTGCAACCCAAACATCTTCTTTTAAATCTTGATATTCTTATCCAATTCTCTGCATGCTCCATATAATAGAAACCCTTCTCTCTCATGTAGCAGTTTGTGATACAACCACCTCTTCAACAAATTCATCCCCCAACAATAGTGCTAAACAAATCTAGAACCATTTCTAGTTTCTAGATGATTTCATTGTTTGTTTGTTTTTTTTAATTTTATAATTTCTTCTTGCAAATGTAGCTAATAACATAATACAGTGTGAATATTCATATTGAGTACATGTGTGTCATACTAGTCAACCTTCACTTCCAAAAGTTCCATAACCCACAAAATAATGCGCATGGCTATTCTTTATTTATCTTAAAAGTTATTTGCACAGAAGCATCAACAATTTATTTCGTTAAGGGGCTACATTAAATCAGTTCATTTCCCAAATACAAAAGAAGATAGAATTCCCATAGCATCAGCTAAAACAAGATCTCAAGAAAATGTAAGACTAATCTATACAGTAGTCATTTCAAAGGGGTTAAGTTAAAAGTAATGTGCTAAATCATGAAAATTTGGATGTTAAAAAATAAGCAACAGACCATTTTAATAAATAAAACAGGACATAGCCTGAAAAATTCAGTAGAGACAGCTAGCATGAACAATATAAAAAACAATTTAGTTAAGGAGCAATACAAGGTTCTCACATAATCAATGGTACTGTATCCAGCAAACACGAATAGAAGATTCTTTATCTGTATAGCCACCCCATCCAAGCGAGCTACAGGTGTAGCAGCCATCTTTTCCCATTTTAATTCTGGTCCAGGCAAATCAGCCAAAGTTGCTGATAAAACTCAACCAGGAGCAGTATCGTTTTTATGATTTACCTAAAGGTAACAGAATAGCGGTCAATATGCAGAGCTGAAACAAGGATCAGTTAGAACTTTATTTGCCATTAATTTAACATACCAGGAAAAAGTTCTAGAACATATGTGAAAGGACAACGCATTGGTTTCATAAAAGTGGAAATTCACTTCTGCTTAACCCATTATGGATGGAATTAAGCTCCAATAACAGGACCATTGTTTTTCTAATAGGTACAGAATTTACTCATATGCCCAATAACAGAAACCCAAATTCATGAAATCTTCACTTTGCTTTTCAAGTGGAACCAGAAAATCATCCAAAAAGCTCAAAATAAAGAATAGCAGTTCATGCAATTTCATAACAAAATCAAATTTGAAATGCGCAAAAACTAAATCAAATTTGAATATACTAATATCCAAAATCTTATATCCGTTTTCTTCTATGGCATCTTCTCAGCACCCACAACAAAAACAAATTTGAAATCTGCAAAAACTAATCAAATAAGCAACAATGAACTTCAACAAAGCAACCTAGCAAACTTTTTTTTTTCATTTTCCACAATGTTTCACAAACCGCCGGTAAGAATTCACATGAAGAAGAAAAAACCCACAACAATGGGGGTGAAGTAGCTCGTTGAAATCCACAGAAACACTAATCACAATGTACAACAACCAACAATGAGCTTCAATGATTAACCAACTCTCACATCAAGAAATAAAAGCACCAATTCCTTTGCGAAACACTTTAACACACTAAAATAAGACCGCGACTAAAATATTCATACAAACTCAGCAGCAAAATCAGCTTCAATATAGCAACCAAACAAACTAAAAAGGCACATTTCCTCCCAAATCAGACAATACTGAGATCAAATTCACATGAAAAATCCTGAACCAGCACGAATGAGCTTCAACAAAACAACGAAACAATAAAAAGCATAATTTTTTTCCCCGTTTTGACATAAGCCAACCAATACCCAGATGAGAATTCACATAAAAACGCAAGATTTCAACAAGATGATAACAAAGAGCCAAACAAACCTTTCCGGGTTCGTCGTCAGTCTTCTTGGCACTGGCGGACCAGAATTTTTTTAGAGGAGGTCCAATATTAAGTATGAAAAATGTTTTTTCGGAATAATTATTTTCTCAAGATAATTTTTGGCGGCTTTTGTTTCTTACTCATCAAATAAGAAAACTTGATTTTATGGGATTTTAGTATGAAATATATATTGACTTAATGAGCCATCATTTTTAGCCTAAATAGTATTGTGCACTAAAATTGAATTTTCATATTTTGATTTGGTGGGAATTTGATTTTCTAGTATTTTTATTTGAATCCAAATAAGGGGTAATTTCTTATTTACATTGTAAACTTAAATAAATGGAGTAATATAAAAATAAATAAAAGTAAAAGTACAAAGATATGGGTTTTCAAATATCAAGGAGAGAAGCCAATTGGAGGCAATGGAAATATAGGAATTAGCAAAACAAGGCGAGGAAGCCCAGAGGAAATCAGCAATCAGTGCAAGCCCCAATATAGGCCAACGCATATCAACAATCTCATATAAGCGGTATAGCCGGGCGGCTTTACTATTTAATAAATAAAAAATTAAGAAAAAAGCACCTTCTATATACTTTTAGAGATATTAATTTGCTAATTTCAACATATCTAAAGCAGATATTAATCGGCCACTATATAATATTTTAATATAATTTTTATTCAATAATATGTGAGAATTATTTGTATCATACGTAAATTTTGTGTGTCTTATTGAAAATTTTGTGAAAAATAAGTGTATTAAATATAGAAATAAGTACGTACATGTACAATATGAGTATTGTACATTTGCTTTTTTTTTAAAACGTGAATTTTACCGAGTCTTTAAGACGTGTACAAAACACTAATGTATTTTTGAAAAATACATACATACGTGTATAGTATTAAACGTGAGAGTTCTAAATTCATTATAAGGGTAATAACTATGGAAAAGTAAAAACTTATATGGGAACAATAAAGACTCGGGTAATGGCCTAATAGTAATGGATAATGCTATAAACTACTTTTATCAACAAACGAAAATCAGGAAAAAAATGTAAAATAAAAAAGGCATCCCAGTATATATATATAGAGTATCGCCTCACGACTATACTTTTTATTAGAGGCAATTAAAAAAAAACCCAGTAACGACTAGAGGCTATACTATTGAAAAAATAATAATGAAAAATCAAGTCGTACGTCTATACTCTTTCTTTTTAAAAAAAGGAATAGCAGTATAGTGCCTACGTGTCAAAATCCGTATAGCCGCGTGGCTATAATATTTTTTTTAAAAAAACTCATAGTATATAGCCATCCGGCTATACAATTTAGATACATTATATTTAAACGATATAGCCGGGCGGCTATACTATTTTTTACAAAACAATTAAAACACCGAGTATAGCCGAGCGGCAGTACTATTTTTTTAAAAAGAGAACCAATAGTGATTAGGCTTCACGTGTCAAAACAAGTATAGCCGAGCGGCTATACAATTTTTTTAAAAAAAAATCAGTCTATCCGCCCGGCTATACTATTTAAATGCGTTATATTTAAACGGTATAGCCGCGCGGCTATACGATTTTTAAAAAACAATAAAAAAACACCAAGTATAGCCGCCCGGCTATACGATTATATAAATAAAAAATTAATAAAAAAGCACACTCCTTGTTGCATTAGTTTATACTTTAGATATTAATGTGTCAGTTTCAACATTTTCAAAGCATATATTAATTGGCCACTATTTAATTTTTATTCAGTAATATGTGATAATTATTTGTATAATACGTTAATTTTGTGTGTTTTATTGAAAAGTTTGTAAAAAATAAGTGTATTAAACATGAGAAATATGTACATACATGTACCATACGAGTATTGTACATTGCTTTAAAAAAAACGTGATTTTACCAAGTCTTTAAAACGTGTACAAAAAATTGATGTATTTTTAAAAAATACATACGTACATATATAATACAGTATTAAACGTGAAAGTGCTAAATTCATTATATGGGTAATAATTATGGAAAAGTTAAAAATTATATGGGGACAATTAAGATTTGGGTAATGGCCTAATAGTAATGAATAATGTTATAAACTATTCTTATCGATAAACGAAACTTAGGGAAAAAATTTAAAGGCTATTAAACTATTCTTATGAATAATGGCTATACTATTTATTAAAGGCTATTAAAATATATAAAAAAGAATACAGTAAAATTGTGCGAATATACCATTTTTAAAATAAATAAATAAATAATCGAGTATCGCCGCTCGGCGATACTCTTTATTTTTTTTTAAACAGAGTAGTTGCACAACACCTAGGCGCCACATGTCAAAATAAGTAGACCTGAGCGACTATACTATTTTTAAAAATAAATAAAACACCGAGTATAACTGCGCAGCTATACTATTTTTTTTATAAAAAAGAGTGACCCCTAGCGATTAGGGGCCATGTCTTTTTTCAAATATGTGAATTTTATCGAGTCTTTAAGACGTGTACAAAACACAAATGTATTTTTGAAAAATATGTATATATGCACATAATACCGTATTAAACATGAAAGTGCTAAATTCATTATACGGGTAATAACTCTAGAAAAATAAAAAATTAAACGGGGACAAATGGACATTCGACAACAGGGATTAGATACATACTTGGTTGTTTAAAATGTTCTTCTATGCTTAATGGGTTCCTAATGCTTAATTTTAGGTTAGACAACAAATGATCAAATTAGGGAATTAGGAACACAAGGTTATGACCAAACACCATGGCTTAATCATACTTTAGCTAGAATCAATCCGTTAATCTAATTGAACTTGGGAACTTATTTGCTTGAGTTATTTCATTCTTTCTTGTTTTATTTATTTTCTTTTTTTCATTTCTATTTTGTGTAGGGGAAACAAATTGGATCATTCAATCACCAATCCTCGTGGGATCGACCTCGCACTTACATATGCTATACTACCAAACGGCTCGTGCACTTGCGAGTATCACAAGTTGAGGATGCAGTTGAAACCATTTTGGTGCAGCTGAATCGAAGCAACAGCCGGCTATACTATTTAAAAAAAACTAAAAACACTAAGTATAGCCGCTCGGCTATACACTTTAATAAAAAATCAATTAGGCGCTGCGTGTCAAAATAAGTATAGCCGCCCGGCTATAATTTAAATACATTATATTTAATATAGACGCGCGGTGAAACTAGTTAATAGATAAAAAAAATAAAGGAAAAAGCACCCTCCTTGTTGCATTAGTTTATACTTAGAGATATTAATTTGCTTGTTTCAACATATCCAAAGCAGATATTAATCGGCCATTATATAATTTTTTTAAACATATATTATTTTTATTCAATAATATGTGAGAATTATTTGTATAATACATGAAATTTTTGTGTCTTATTGAAAATTTTGTAAAAAATAAGTGTATTAAACATGAGAAATATGTACGTACATGTACAATATGAGTATTGTATGTTTGTTTGTTTTTTTTTTAAACAAGAATTTTACTGGGTCTTTAAGACATGTACAAAACACGGATGAGTTTTTTAAAAATACGTACATACATATCTGTATAATACAGTATTAAATGTGAATGTGCTAAATTCATTATATGGGTAATAACTGTGGAAAAATGAAAAATTAAACAGGGACAATAGAGATTCGGGTAATGGCCTAATAGTAATGGGTAATGCTATAAACTACTCTTATCGATAAACGAAAATCGGTGAAAAAATTTAAAAGAAAAAAAGGATCCCAGTATATATATATATATTTGAATATATTTAAGAGTATAGCGGTGCGTTCATAATTTTTAAATATTCGTATATATAAATTTTTTTTTATCAAGATATTCGTCTATATTTAAAGCGTATAATAACGCGGCTATAATTTTTAAATATTTTTTTAAACAATATATTCGTGCGGCTGTATTATTTAAAATTCAAAAGTGTAACTTCTTTAGGAAATGCTAGCAACCTTCTCTCTAACTTTTGTTGTTGTTGTTGTTGTTGTTGTTGTTGTTGTTTTGTTTCTGTCGAGTGCCTCATATTCAAGTTTTACTTACTTCATTTTGGTTTGTTTTGTATATTTTGCGAGGATAACCATGGCGCCCATCGTTTGTTAGACGTTGTGCAATTACAAAATAATTTTGCTAGCATTCCCCTTAGGAAAAGTAAAAAATCAAAAGCAGGACAGTTGAAATAATATTGGAACAAAACAAAACAACGCTAAATACTAACAAAATAATGAAATGATGTGTAAATTTAATGTGTAAATATAACTCATGATTCACAAACAAAAAAAATCATGATTTATATTTATTTAATGTGTAAATTCCACATTGAAATATTAAGTACATAAAATGATGGTGCCTAGTGTAACAAATTTCAGTATATATATGCAAATTAATTTTCAGGTTTCAATTGAAAGAAAAAGAAAGAAATCCTAATGAAGTTGTAGCATAACAGAGTACTTGAAACAGAGCATTTGTGCCCAACACTGGAATTCGATCTGTACAGTCATACAAACCCTTATCAAGACTAGGTCACCTTAAAGCTACCTTGCAACCATTTGACCTGCGTTTGCAGCCCAGAATCTGTCAAAGCATTCAAGGCTGACCGATAAAGCCTCCCATCTAACCCTGTTCCTTCTGATTTCATATCTCGCAGAAGCTTCACCAACTCATCAACTCGACCCGTTTTCGAGAAAACCCCAACCATTATTCCAGCCATGGCCTTGTCTAAAACACCCCCATGGATCCTAAACTCATGGTAATATCTCATGCACATTTCAAAATCCCCTGCCTTGTTGTAAGCACCTATAACAGTTGTGTAGCTTACTTTATCTGGTGCTACCTTCCTTCGCTTCATTTCTGTCCATAGCTTTGAAACTTGCCTCAAATTATTATCCCTTCCATGCATATCCATCAAAGAATTGTAAATCCATACATTTGGATTGCACCCTCTTTCTTTCATCTTCGCCACAAGTCTCATTGCATCTCTTGGCCTTCCTGTTTTCCCATACATTACAACCATGCTAGAATAAGCCACTACACATTTATCAAACCCTTTTTCCTCCATCTCTCTAAAAA